TTTTTTTTTTCCACCTGGACACACCAGGTGTGTTGATGGTCATTGTTATTTGTAGTCTTACAAAATCCGACGCTTTATGGGTGTTGTGTGGTAATAGCTAAATATAATATCTCCCCCTAGTGTGGGGGTTAGTTTGAGCATGATATTATCGAGGTTTCTTATTTACTGTCGAATTCTAGTTTAGCACTTAGGCCTTCGGCCTTTTTTCTTGTACCAAAAAAAAAAAAAAANAAAAAAAAAAAAAAAAGAAAGGATAGAAAAATATAGGATTCTTTCTAAATGATAAAAAAATATTTTTTAAGGTATATGTTGAATGCTACATTTCTCATATAAAACGTGTCTGGTTAAGTTTGTCCTTATATAAGGAAATTGAATTCTTAAAGGAGTTTCATTGTTACAAGACCCAAAAAATAGGAAAATTATCAATTCGGAGCTTGAAATATAATTTTTTTTTTTTGGTACAATGAAAGAAGACCACAGCCTTAGGAAATGATTACGCTAGAATGCGACGGGGGTATGAGATCCCCGCAAGATCATGTTGTAGCTAAGCTCCCTAGCCAGAGGGGGGAGACGAAATCCGGTGCAGTCCAACGGAGGATAACGCTGCAACACTCGTCAGGTGATCTGCCGCAAAATTAGCTTCTCTATGAACGTGTTGGAGTTTAACTCTCCACTCCCGACCAATGAGGCTCCGAATGGTACTCACCAGGGCGGCATGGGTCCCTAACCGATCCGCCGTGCCACTAACCAATTGTGTAACACACTGACTGTCAATCTCGGCAGTGACATGTCGAAATCCCAAGTCCCACGCCATAAGTAGGCCTTGTAGGAGTCCCAAGAGTTCAGCACCTGTAATAGAACAGTAACCAATATTCATAAGAAAGCCTCCTTTCCATATACCAAGCTCGTCCCTGATCAGCCCGCCAACACTACTCAATCCGGTAGAATTATCAAATGCGCCATCCGAATTAACCTTGACCCATCCCGTGTCTGGTGGAACCCATCTAATGAAACGAGTGATATATGAATTAGCCCCCACACGTGCATAGGCATCTATCGCCCGGCTGTAGGATTCCGTGAGTCGAGCAACATCCGAGAGCTTCGCATCAATAGTGAGGGTTTGCTGATTGAAAACTCGATCATTGCGCCACAGCCATAAGCGCCAGACAGCAATAGAAAAATATAAAGCTTACACGTATAAAAATTATCAATCCAAGATCCATAACACCGTTTAGCAACCCCTTTTAACAAAGTTGATGTAGCCGTCAAAGTGCCACATAGGCGAACCACGTCATTAGAAAAAAAAAATTACTAAATACTAAAGAAAAAAGAAAAATACTAAACTAATAATAAACTCTTTATTTTTTTTTTGGTACAGGGACCTTCCGGTTTCCGAATCTACAGGGGAACCGACTAATCCGGAATCGAGCCAGGTAGGACCACAAGGGCGGCAAAGCTCTCCCTCAAGAGTTTTAACACTGTTGCATTCCCAGGGCTCGAACTCGAGACCACTGGTTAAGTTGGAAGAGACCCAAACCATCTCATCGCTCTTGGTAATAATAAACTCTTTATTAAATGCAGATAATCAACAAACCTGTTATTTTGAGTTCTCTTCTTATTATTCCCTTCCAGATATTATTTAAATCAACACATCACCCTTATGTGGCTTTTTGACAACCCAAAACTGGTATAAATTAGTCTTTTCTCTGTTTATCAATTTGAATCTATATGATATTTTGTATAATTATTAAAACTGTTATTTTCTAAAAAGTCTTTATCTTTGTTTATCAAAAGCGTAAATTTGAAGTTATACGATATTTTGTATAACTGTCTGTTTGTCAACTTGTTCATATGGTTGGAGCATGTTATGGTTTCATCTGAGAACAATTTCCCCTGCCTTGACTAATCTTCAGCTGTGTTAGCAAATTGTTGATTGTGCTTTGTCCTTTTGCTACCAATAGAGTTGTAAACGAGCCGAGTCCGAACCCTGATAGTCGAGCTCGGCTCATCATCAATGACTGAACTCGAGCCTTAACGAGTCGGACAACGAGCTTTCATCGGGCTGTTTTTTTCCTGTAACTCTGGCTACCATTTAGCACTTGAGTAGTTATAACATTGTCCAAAAACATCTCAAATCATAACTTTATTATCAAATCCTAAATCCTAACATTCATCTGCATTATCCAAAAACTATAAGCAGCAAACGTTACCAAAGCCAAACTAAGTACTGCAAACTACATATTTACTCCCAATGTGAATATATATATTCTTTTAAAACAACAAAAGCCCCAAAAAAACTTAACTAGTTATTGTCCACAAGGCCAAGTAGCTCTTTAACCACCTCATGAATCTCCTCATCCTTTTTCTCGGCAAGCACGGCCCGCATGGCCGCCGCAGCCAGCCTTACTCCCTCCCCTGCATCCTCCACCACCACTCGCCGGATTGCCTCCGCCAGCACCTCCCTACGCAGCCTCCCATCCGCCTCCCGGAGCACCTCAACTCCGACTCCAGAGTTCTCCACCAGCCGAGCATTGACCGGCTGGTCGAGGTCCATCGGCAGGGCCACCACCGGGACCCCAAACATCACGCACTCCATAACCGAGTTCCATTCGCAGCTGCTCATGAATCCCCCGAGGCTTTCGTGGCAGAGAATCTTGGCCAGTGGGGCCCACCCATCGATGACCAAGCCGCGGCCATTCCACGGGCCCCTCTTCAAAAACTCTTCCGGAAGGGACCAGAACCCCGTGTCCTCAGTGAACTCCACGGCCCATATGAAGTTGACCCGGCTGAGCTCGAGGCCGAGGGCGATTTCGTCCATGTCGTGTTTAGACAGGATCCCAAGGGAGACGAGTTGGAATTAACTTTAGGCGAAATACATCGCTTTAATCCAGGAGCTTTCATATCGAATAATTGAGAATCAAAACTGAATAGCGGAAGCGTACCTGAATCCATAGGTGATTGATTTGGGGATTTGGCCTTCTAGGTCTATACGATCGTGTACCTTTCAGAGAACCCTTTAGCTTTTCTCCGTAACCTCTCTGTCGATGGGATGCAGAAGAGTAATCTGTCGATGTCGTATGACCTAGGGACCACAACCCTTATGTACATTAAGTTACATTGGGCATCTCTATTTTAGCCCATCATTAAAATAGAAGACCCATTAGTTTCTACACATTAAAGGCCCACACCCTATTGATACTTTAAAGCCCAATAACTTTAAACCTTAATTGATCACTTTTATTTGGGCTTCTTTATTTGACAACCACAATACTATAATTATTTCACATATTAGCCCAATGTTGGATTAAGGATCCAACAAGACGAACACAGTGGACTTCCTCTCCTTGGAGTTGAGCCACGACATGATACCCGACAGAGTTTCCGGGTCAGATTTCCTGTCTGGGGGGTCGGGAAATTCGACCAGCGGGCCCACCGGGATGAACCTTTTCCCGAAGAGAGAGCCCGCGTAGTCCATGTAGGGCCCTTCCATGCCACGGAAACCTTTCACCAAGACGAGCCCGCACGACTCCTCGATCCCCCGAAACACCATGTCCCGGTTGGTTGGGTCGAGCATTTTTTCGAGTGTTGAGGCCTCGTAATCCCGGAACCGTATCTCGGGAAATGGGTAGGAGGCCAGGTCACGGGTGGGGTTCTTGAAATAGTGGCACATGACGCTAGCCATGGTGCAGCTGGTGGTGGTGAGGAACTCGACGGCTGGGACACTGAGTTCCCGGGCGAGGCCCGGGAGCCACGGCTGGTGAAAGTCATAGATGATGAGGTCGGGTTTGAGTTCCGAGAGGATGTCGGAAAACTCCGAGATTGTCACGGGGGAATTCATGGCGGCCCTGAGGTCCGACATGAGGCCCAGAGGGAGCCCGTTGGTGGTGTGGAGAGCGCGCGGGAGGTCAGGAGTGGCGGGAAGGAGAATGGGGAGGAGTTTGATTGACCTGTCAAACACTACTTTGTCCTCGACCGACGAGAGGGTGGCGATGGTGGAGACGAGGTAGACCTTGAAACGGCCGTTGGAGGTGATTTTGTTGGCGAGCTCGAGGAACGCGCTGGTGTGGGCGTAATCGAGCCAGGGGAACATGACTACTTTCGTGGAGTTCATCGTCTTGTTTGCTATGGTTTTTGGATTATAGGGTTTGGTTTTCTTGAAGGAGGAGCAAATCGAAGTGAATGATGTTTTGTAGGGGAATAAGGGAATGAATATATATAATGAGAGGTGTGTGGGATGAGAGATGATGAAATCGTTATACTTATTTGGGATTTGGAGAAAAATGGAAAGAGTAGCGTGATATTGCCTTAGATATTATGGTTTTTGTCGTTGAAGTTAAGATCCTTCGTTTATTTTAGATCTTGTTGCTCTTTTTATTCATGATGAATTAAGGGGGTGTATTGATTTATAAGGATTTTTAATACTTTAGAAATCATGGTGTATTCAATTTAGATTTGTTAAGGCTTTTAAAAATTTTGGGGTATTAAATTGAAATTTTAAAAAGTCTTACAAAATATTGAGGTATTTAATTTATTTGACACTAGGATTTGTCAAGACTTTTTAAGATTTGGTGGGATTTCTAGACAAAAAACCTTATACGAAATCCTACTTCAAATCTCACCTCCTGACTTAGGATTTCACGGAATTTCTCCAAAATCTTGAAACCTTAACAAATCTCAAATCTTAAAAAGTCTCAAAATGTCACTTGAAATCTCAATTAAATACACCTTCAAATAATTTAGTTTTGCCGCCCTTGTGGTCCTACCCGGCTCGATTCCAGATTAGTCGGTTCCCCTGTGGATCCG